GACACACTGCAATACTACATCTACTCCTCTCCCAAACTCCGTTGAATTATCTCCTGGTACCAGCGAAGAAATCTTAGATGCAGCTCACCTACCCTATCAGCAAGCCATTGGCTGTCTCAACTGGGCCGCTGTCCACACTCGACCGGATATTCAATATGCCGTATCAACGTTAGCTCGTTATTCATCTAAATACACATACAGACATTGGCAAGCTGTAAAACATCTTTTCAGATACGTTCAAGGAACTTTAGAACGTGGTATATTATTCAAGAAGCACAACACACCATCAACCGAACTTCGTGCCTACGCTGATGCCGATTATGCAGCCTGTACCGAAACTCGCAGATCAACAACTGGTTATGTATTCACGTTAGGCGGATCTCTAGTCAGCTGGAAAAGTCGTCGCCAACCCACTGTAGCTCTATCTACCACAGAAGCAGAGTATATGGCACTTGGAGATTGTGCTAAACACTGCTTATGGTTTCGTAGAATGATATCTCACCTGACTCAAACCCCCATTCCAACATCTCCAATATCTCTACCTCCGCTAAGTATTTTTAACGATAACAATGGAGCAATATTTCTCTCTCAAGAATCGGCTACAAACAGTCGATCAAAGCACATAGACATTAGGCATCACTTCATTCGCGATTTAATTTCCTCACATCAAATATCTACTCATATGATCGATACAAAGTTAATGCCAGCTGATTTCCTCACAAAGAATGCTCCGAAAGAAATGCTCAATCGATGTCGGTTCTTAATTGGTAATGTAGATACCAACGAACTCCATCTTATATCTACGAACTCACTTCCTATCCCTACAAAAGTATCAAGCAAGGGGGGATGTTGATACTCTCAATAGTGTATCACAAAATACTCGACACTTATCCTCAGTCTCAGCACTCAGTCTTCTTGTGATCAGAATCACATGCTGAGTTTTTCTTTTGTTCATCTTGTAAGAATCAGTTTTCCCGATCCTTTGCCTCAGCTCAGAACTCTTGTATATAATATATCTATTCTTGTGATTCATTTCATTCCTATTTGACACAGATAAGAAATTAATATCATTATTAGATCCACATGATATGCTTTCGCTCTTCGGAGTATTCCCTTCGTGACACTTTCATCCTCGCATCTCTTCGCATTCAAGTGACAGCTCTGGATCAGCTGTTCACGCTTGTGTCACACGACGTTTTACATCTATATCCAAGTGGGATAATTACCATCCTCAAGATTTTCTGAGATCTTGAATTTACTGAGTGCATTAGTGAGTTGCAAACCGTACTTTTGAATGGCGTTTCCAAACAGAGGAAACACAGAATCATCAGCTGATGCCATGATTGGATTTGTTAGTTGTTGAGTTCTTAAGTTATCGATGACGGTTCGACCGATAGTTGAAGAAGAGGATGTTTCAGATTCGGAATTGGTTGTTTCTGGATTGACTGTTTCTGGATTTTCTTCAGTGTTCGATGACATAAATTTAGACAAAGAGATTGGACGGCGGATCGAAAGCTCCCGCTACCATGTAGGATTTTACTTTTGACTGTAGACAAATAACTTTTAAAAGGTAACAGAAATACTTCAGCTACGTGTTGACGAGACACGGCTGACAGACTAAGATGGACGACTGGAAAGACTCAACAGACCTTTTAAAAGGTAACAGAAATACTTCAGCTACGTGTTGACGAGACACGGCTGACAGACTAAGATGGACGACTGGAAAGACTCGCCAGACCTGAACGAAGAAGATAATAAAGACTTTAGAATCAATTTCTTCGATAAGATGAAACAATCACAAACACAATAACAAACCTTTTAAAAGGTAACAGAAATACTTCAGCTACGTGTTGACGAGACACGGCTGACAGACTAAGATGGACGACTGGAAAGACTCAACAGACCTGAACGAAGAAGATAATAAAGACTAACATGTAGAATCAAAAGAGAAAGAACCAATATTTGTATGATAGAGAATTTAATCAGTGTATTGATAGGAAACAGAACAGAAAAGAAAACCTCACCTTTAGAATCAATTTCTTCGATAAGGAAAAAGATTCTCCAGGAAAGAGGGACAAGGTTATAAGAAGAAAAACAAGGTGCCAACGAGAAAATCAAGGTGTAGTTAATTGAACAATGAGAACTAATCTAATCAGCTTCCGAGAAACAACACAGCACGAAAACAGAACAATTGAACAAAGAATGTACACTACTATGATCTTTAACTATCTTGTTCGACCTCGATAAAATAAAGACACACACGTTGTAATACTAAATTTGATACGTGATAATTGAACAACTAATTTGTATACTGACTTTCACACAGTAACTTGAAGTTCTTGACCGTACACTTATCACTTGAAGAAAATTAAATCCAACATCGGTTACGTCAACAACTGTACCTGCACTCACTTCAGCAAGAACAAATCGGCCTGCAAGCATATGTATCTCGTGGTGCGGCGAACTTGCTATAACATCCTCGAAGCCGCCCTCACAGAGGTTGATAACGGCATTTCGCAATTCCACCCCCGCGAAATCATCCATCCAATTGATATTCGCGTTCACGCGATCACTTCCGTGCATCCGGTGTAGAACTTAAAGCTCAACAAGAGCTTTACAGAGCTAAAAGAGGGATAATCTACTAATAAAGTATCTAGTAGAAGTTGTCTAAGACTGCCTCTTTGAAAGAATCAACACGGGGTTTTGCTGAATTCTTTGGGATAAGGCACCAGAGAAAGTTGTCTCAATACTTAATTCAAGTATTATTCCCGTGAGTTTTTTTTTAGAAATAGAGAAATCTCAACACTATTGTAGTGTTATTCCAATTTGAACACAACAAAAACACAATTTTAATTACTAGCAAGCAACAATCAGTTTGATTGTTATTCCAAATGAAGACTTGTAGTCTTATCACACGTAAAGAAATCTCTCCTTTGATGTAAAGGGGCTATTTAGTGAACTTAGTACTGGTAAAGTAATTTAATGATGATTAAAAACACTCTAACAAAAGTATAAGATGAGTAAAAAAGGGGAACAAAGGCCCGTAAAATCCTTAACAATAGTATATAACTCTCCAACAACCTTCAACAATGGTCAACAACCTCCAAAAACCCTCAAAAACCATCAAAATCAACAGAGTATCCTCCAATGTAATCATATGATGTCATAAAGATTATTGTTTGTAATGATTCAAGGCGTGAATTTGATCAATTGATGTGAATAAATGATGAACAGATCTTCTTATGATGAATACAGGTGATTTTTTCCTAATATTCATAGCTGAAATCCATTTTTGGATTACGAATTTTTTGTAAAGTTGTTCAATTTTGGATTACTATAGCTCATTTGATAGCCCTCGTGATTCTGATCATTTATCACCCCTATATCACCTATTTCTGATGTGTGATGAATAAGTTATTGAGTTGTAAAGATTGCAAAAATAAGGTTTTGTCATGTAAATGTCACATGTAACCTCCAAATTCGAAATTCACTCCAGTTTCTTTGTTGCCTTATAACTTTTTCACTACTCCTCCGCTACTAAGGATTTAAAGATTGTACATTATGAAACCAATGATTCTGCGTCGAATGAACTATCACACACCCAATTCTGACAAGTTTTACCATATGTAATTAACTAAAAACTCCCATTTTTGATGAATTTTGACTATTTTCACGTCTAATAATGATTTTCCTTCTATCAAAAGATCATTCCACAGCGCTCCAATCAATCACACAGCACTAAAATCCTTCTGAAAAACTCTTGGCGCAACCAATCCATCAATGACATCACTACACAGGAATTAATACCATAGTACCCTTCTTCGAAATTTCCCTTTTCTTGAATAACTTCACACCTCCCTTATCAATCCTCATGATTAAAGTTGTTGATGACTAATGTGATCCTTCTCTTTCACAATAAAACCTTCCTGAACCAATATCTCTTCTATTAATAAGCTAAAAACCACTTTCCAAGCTTTCTTACCCATATTTTCGAATTTTTTCTCCAACTTGCTTTATATTCTTCTTCCTCTTTCATTCTTTTCATAACAGTTTCCATTCTTAAAGATCCAAACTAAATGTTCTTCTTCCTCAAATCCCTTCTTACTAATTCTCTTAATATGATTTTCACTCTTTTACTATTTTTATTGATCTTTTCGAATTTTTCTTTGCTCTTAAATGATCTTATCAATTGCTTATGTAAATATATATTCTGAAAGATAATGAAATGAAAATAATGAATCAACTTTAATAACCTTGATGACTAACAACCTCAATAATAATAGTGCCTTTGACCAAAAACTCGAGTTTCCACATAATTTTTAAATTTTTTTGCTTAAGTAGAGATCTTGCTCACCACACCGGACTCGCCCCCCCCTTCTCCAGTGCTCAATCCTTACCGCTCCATCTCGGGATTAGCACGCAGCCCATCTACCACAGGTTTAGCTACTGCTACGTACCAGTTCGCCCCCATGGTCCCTGCCCAGCTACCTTACAACAACCAATCACACCCAGTCACAACTTCCGCCGCAGTTCCCTTTTGAACCACATATGAATCCCCCACGACGTCAAGTCATCAACAACTTTGCCCGTCCAGCAAGAACCAGCCATTGGTTGCTTGCACAGAGACTTTGGATTGGTGGTTGCCCGATAGCACTAGGGTTTATAACCATTGCACCAACAAATTCAGCGACTCATACTTTGGCCAGCTCTTTTACAACCCCCATCACGCCCAATCTACGCCACCAAGTCATGGCCCTCAACACCACGCGGGTGCTAGAACGTACCCTGCACCATATCCTGCATCCCCGTTTCTGAGGTTGAATGGACCCTCTGGCGGTCCCTCAGTCATCCACCCACAACCGCGTTATCCTCATGCTACACGTAGTCCATTTGTTGATCATGGCAATCCCCTTCCAGTGTTACAAGTACCCTGTCAAACGAGGACACCACGTCACTTTACCCTGCGCGATGAATCGTCGAACCTTGAGACTCACTCGACAATGCCGCCGCCTCCACCACCTACCCAGGCAACGTTTGAGCTGGACGCCTCCGCTTTGCAGCAAGCACTGCATCGTCATGCACCGCCACCTGTGCCAAATCCTCCGCCCAACACTTTCGTACCGTCGCCTACACCCAAGCTCACACCTGGCTTTGTTCGGACCTCTCAGTTAGACAGCTTATTCAACGGCATGAATCCTCTACCAACAAATGCACCACGTCCACCCATAGCTATGATCACTGCACCTCGCGCCCTTACCAATCTCCCACCGGCTGCTGTACGACCTGCACCGTTTATTACCTCCGGGATGCATGATGGAGTACCATTTACCCAAACTACGTGAGTACGGTCTGGTTTTCAGGTGTGCGAGTCCTGACACTCGGCTATAGCGCGGCATACAACAGGGCAACTTCACCCGTCACGTCTGTTGGTGCGGCGACCGGCGATGGCAGTTCGAACGTCCCAGAGGCGCCCAGCAGCTCACAAAGGCACGGAGGACCAGAGTCCGACGCGCCGACACACAACAGCTTCAGCCAAACCACCGCTGAGGATGTGGCCGTCCTCGATGCTTCGAGATGGCAGAATATGTGAAGCGCAAAGAACTAAGCAAGTTCCACAAAGTACTTCGATTCATCGTGGCGGAATCCAATTTTGAGAACACAACCACGCAGCTTAATAATCATAGTGTTGAGCACATAGCCGTGATTCGAACTAAGGCTGAAGAATTCCTTTCTGATTTGCAAAAGTATAACAGCTCAAACCGTCCAAGCAAGCAAAGACGGCCTTAAAAACCTCGTGCCACCGACAGCTCCTAAGGCCTCATTTTTGCATTTTCAGGCTCTCATTCGCGTGGATGTCAGGGCAAGTATCTGGGCATGTTGACCTGGATTTCCTCGGGTCGGTACAATGACATAGCAGGCTTTTCATTTCTACTCTTCAAACGTTTTTTTCACTCTTCTGCACGGTTTCTCTGTAAATCCTTACTTCTGCGTTTCCTCGTCTCTCCGTTTCATCATTTCAATGTAATTTAAATGTGCAAATTCATTTTCTCTTTTGGTCGTCTTTTCATTTGCGTGGTGTTTCGCGGATTCGCTCTTTGCGCGGCAACGCGCAAAGAGCGGATCCGAGGAAACGAGTCTAATTACCGCGGCCGAGGGGTTTCTGATCCCGAGGTCCTCCAGACCCCGAGTACAAATTGGGGCCGCGGGGATGCCAACGCATTTCTCTTAAGCCCATGGGATAACCCAATCGAGCAAGATGTATCAGGAAGGTGATTCCAAAACGAAGTTAAATCTTCCCAAAAGTTAGAAAAACATAGATTTTTCAAAACTCGAGCAACCTCTTCAAAAGTCTAGTCACCAATTTCTTTGTCTTGATAAATGGCCGTCTTTCCCAAGGTTGTAATATCCTATCATATTGTAACAGTTTAGATAGTGTTTCATGCAAATATGCGCTTATGCACTTTAAAAAAAAAAAAAAAAAAAGAAAAACCGCATTGAATAGTTCTGGGGATATAACGGCGTGCTAGCCAGCATTGGCCTCCTGGTGCAAGGAGCGATCCGGGAGTCCGGGGATTGTCAAATGTCTGACCTATGAGGACCTATGCCTCTGCCTCTAAACCACACGATGTGAGGTTCGAGAGCTCGGCACGGGCAATGTAGAAGACCATTTAGAGAGCCACAGACCTTTAATGAAGGGAATTTCGACCCACATGGGTAGAACTGGGAGGATCCGAATAGGACCCTGGAATGCACGTACGGAGGTTAGTGACGTAGATTCCGACCTTTTTGTAACAAATTTGTTGGGTACAAAATCACACTTCTCTTTTGCTACAGGAGCGCAAAAGAAGCGCAAGAAGCAGAGCTTTCATATGCACTAACTTTTAACCCCATAGCACCGATACTTCCCGAGATATTCAAGTGTAAAGCCCAAAACTAGCCAAAATCGAAGGTCGGAATTGGGCCTTGGCGGCCCAAAATTTTTTTGTGCCTTTGCGATTTACGCCGCAGTGAGGCAAGCTACAGGGGTCAGACCAAGCTCATCTGATAGCCCTATTCCATGCGCATCTTTTGAAGTGCTTGGGAGCGTGGGAGAATGAGTGGTGTGTAGCGTAAAGCCCAAAAACTGAAAATCGGCCTTCGTCACTACCCTCTGTAGGCGCATTCCAGGGTCCTATCCGAATTGGGTACAGTTCGGTTGCGACCGAGCTCGTCTGATTGACGGAAACGTAGCACTACATTTGGATATGTTGATGGATCTGTCAACGCAGCGTGCGAGGGTGGCTCTGGGCTCGGCTACGCCCGACTCGGCTCTGAATTTCACTCCTCTTCTGGTACTCCCGGAAACAAGTGTACCAGTTGAAATTGACTTTGACAAGTGCATAGATTAGAGCGTGCAACTATTCCACGTCTAGCTGCCAACGAGACACAGCCAGTTGTGGGCTGCTTCTGGAAGTCCAGAGTTGCTGGATCATTTAAGTATTATCGGCCACCTTATTTTTGTTGCGTTTCTGATCTTCTGCAAAATCATTCTGATGGATCCGTCCAACATGTCTCAATATCTCCCTGCTATGCCTACTCTCAGAAGTGATTTCTTTCTTATGTGCCCGCCCCATTTGATCAGGAACAGTGAGACTAATTGATTTTTGTTTTTCTTTTCGATGAAGACGTTCTGGCAGCAATTCCTGCAAACGTCAATCCATTCGAATACGGCCAGGACGTCATCAACAGCCTTCGATTTCCCAAGGTCCCACAAGCAACTTTCGGTGTACTCATCGTTTTCTCAATCATCCACTTCCTCACCGCCATTGTTTGTCTGGTCATACTCCTTCGTTTCATTTTTCCTAAATCAGCTTCCCAAAAAGCCAAGTATGGTTGGTTGTTTAGAAGGATCTATGTGGAGGACGCAGACGGATATCCGTGTACGCCGACGTCTTATTTACTTTTGATAACGCCAATGATCTTGTATCAAGAGTGAAGCTGATCCTCAAAAAAACATCAAACATGGATGCCTTTATCGTGACTGCATTAGTGGATACCACAGCGCTCATATTGCCAAACAGTGGGCCTTTAATGGCATGCTTTCATTTCCTCGCAAGTGGTGTTGCACAAGCGGAAATCTGGCTCACTTTAGCCGCCTTCAAATCTTACGACACGGCTCCTAAGTACAGTTTGCTACTCTGGTGAGTCTGGCAGCATTTTTTTCGCTTGAACTCTAGCCGTGTAATTCCTTGGGGTTTGACAGTTGGGTTCATATCACTAAAAAGGTCATCTTGGTCATCATGTGCTTAGGCTCTACATATCTTGGCTATTGGCTTACTACGGCTTTTGGGTCACGACTTGGGCCTCAGTCTACACTTGGTAAGTTGACCAGAAACAAAGCGCCTGGAACCTACACGCATAGCAAATTTCAAAGTAAAGAAATATCTGACATGCCACCTCATACCACCCTTGACCTCTTTTGGCCACACACAGGCTGATACGCAGGCAACGTACGCAGAAGCACTCAAAACTGCCCCCTTGTACATCAAGCCTCTATTTCTCAATTGTTTCTTTCTAGGCGTACCAATTATGGTCACTTTTGCTCAAGTCGGACTTCTAAGCTGGCACATGAGTTCTTTTTGTCGTGAGCAAGATATCTGGAACGACCTAGTCAATTCGCTGAAGGAAGCAGCAAAGTTGTGGAACAACTTGAATAAATCGACCAATGCTGCCACCTCAATTTTGAGCGATGGATTGTTCAAAAACGTGAACGGCGATCCTATTGCGATGGCTTTGGTTGCTCAGACGCGTGCTGTGACGCTGATGACCGCTGAAGTAGAGACGAATGATCGTCAGCTGATCCAAAGATCGCAAGTGATGGCCTTTGCTTGGGGTGTGTTCCTTCTGATCACCCTAATAGTGAGTCCCACTACTTTTCAAGCGGTAGCAGATCATGCTGAATCCACATCGCCAAGTAATAATCAACTCCTGGAGTGTTTTTCAGATCTACGCTTCGGCAACTTGGTCATTGATTTCTTTGATTAAGAGTGCTGATACTGAGCCAGTCCGTCGGAAACGCAAGATGCAAGTAGGTCTACTAAGTCGACGCAAAAACTCCTACACCGAAGAGGGTGGGGCCATATCTGTTGATAACGAAGAGGCGAGATTGCTTCATCGGGGGTTGCGTAAGTCTCTTCATGACCTTACCAAGGTCTCTAACATATGTCATTATCTAAAGTTGATGATTTATGACACACCTGTCAACATGTTCTAGGATACCTGACTCTGCATAGCTTAACGATGATTACTGCCATTTTATATTCGAGTGTCGTCTGTTTCATCATGGGCGCTCACGCTGAGGCTATCATGGTCACGTGAGTTCATTATTCATTGTCCCTTATCTAGAATGATAGTCAATCATCTCGAAACCTTCTTGTGGTCTGACTGCGTCCATGGATTTATGATCGAAGGGCGCACTGGCGGGGATTAGGTTCGTGGCTATCTCTAGCGAGCGGTATTTTTATTGCCATGGCAATGGCGTTTCAATTTGTAAGCTGCGTTCTGTATCTCTACGCGCCTTGTACTACAAGTCTTCTTTTTGGGGAACCATTCTCATGGTGAGTTAAGCTTACTCATGGTGTCACTTTTGATCTTTTACCACTGATTGCGCAGTGGCGCGTATGGGTCGATCTAGACATCATCATCCCGGTTCAAGATGCAAGGAACGAACATGAATATGATACATTTCAAGGAGACATTCCTTTGCAAGAGAAGGCGGGAGATCTTGCATACCAATCGCAATAATGTCTGACGATTAAACCCTAGCTATCATCTTTAATTGTTTTATCCAACTTGATATTTGGGTTTGCTACATAGAGGTTGAGTAGTCCGCATGAATGAAGGAAGAGCCTTGACCAAACTAGATACCCTTTTTAAGTGGGACATTCTTGAACTGGCTCTTCTTTTTGTTCATTGGCATGGATAAAATGGCTTTGTGCTATATGGTATGTGATCATACCAAAGGTGTGTATGGACATAATAAATGGGATTTTCAGAATCTGCTTGTCTTTGTTTATCCGCCTTTGTTCATCTAATATTTTTCGGCTCTCTAGGTACAATCGATATACACTTTCTTTTTTTTCCAGTACCTTCTCCCAACAGTGGTATCTTGCCATAAGGTCGTTGATGTTGCTTCTTGGTTCTTATTTTTCTTTACATTCCTTTCACTGTTCTCCGCAAGGATATTGTTCTATACACACTCTCTCTTAAACATTGCTTGGAAGGTCACCAATTTCCCCAAGGATTTGCTCCGCTGCTTCCACAAGGCCACATGAAACTTTGGAGCACCTGACATCCATCCCCTCTCAATGATGGACCTCAGAATACCTGCACAGGCTTTGTAACACTACCAATTTTTTATGTATTGTGTCAAGTGCCTTCTGAGCTCAAGGCTATCAAGCACTATGACTACTTATTTGCCCTGCTCCAGTACAAACCCTTATGGGGTAGTGGGCTGACTGTTTCAATGTATCACAAGTGCTACAATGTGGTACATGTGATGGAATTTGAGTACAACGGGAGGTTTGGGATGTCACAAGGTGGTTGCTCATTGCTGATTTGAGCCCACACCCAATGGCTCGTAAGCTTCCAAGCAGAGTTGCAGTACCTTGCAAAACACACATAGGAAAGGCTCTGGCCCATGCACCTGTTGGCCCAGCCTGCCCAAGCCCGTCCCAGACATCCTATAAAGCTGCCTTGGCCTTGTAGTAGGACTCTGTTGTGGCCATGAGGTGTTGAGTAGGCTTTTTGAACTGTTCTTCAGACCAGCCAATAATTCACTTGGATAGGAGTAACAAAAAAAATACGCTACAAAATCCATGTCAGGAAAGACATACACTGACACCGCGGGAATCAAAAGGTTCAAAACCCAATTGAAGAAAGTTGCGGTGACCGGGTTTGCAACTTTCTTCAATCACGGATCTCGTTTGCAATACGTTTGCATTACGTTTGCTGACCTCCCTTGAGCAAAACCCACAAAAGGAAACGAAATGAATCACAAACTCAATTCACCTCGCCTTGCCTCAGTGCTCACCATTTCGCTTCCTCACTCACCCAACTCTCCTACAAACAAGTTCACCTCAACTTCATTGACTTGATCATATTATAGACATTGGATGAGCTGATCATATCAGGACACAAAATCCATTCCCGATCCCATCAAGATAGCACCAGTTGAGCACTGAGCCAATTGAGAGCCCCCAGTTCATTG